ACCCTAAGTTGGCAAAAAAAAAAAACCCAAAAAAACTAAGAGCACTACTTTGTGAATGGCACGACAGAAAGCTTAAGTTCTCTGCATCTCCAATAGTGTAAAGGAAGCCACTCGCAAATAATTTTAGGGCAATGCAAACATTTTGTGCTGTTGTTGAAGCCCGACATCGAATCGAACATTAATGTGCATTTCCAACAAAATAATAATGTATTTAAACGACACCCTCACGACGATCGTTTCACGAGAAAAAAATAAATAAATCTCAGAAATTATGAAAACTGAAGGACTTCCCGTATCAGCTGCGATTTAATCCTGTTTACATTAAAAAAGCTTGCTCGCGAGCAGGTTCAAGCTGACGGACCTGTTGCTATGACAGCAAGTCCAGGATGAGCGTCGAAGAACCAAACGATCCAAGATCATGGCAAATCGCCAACAATCAAATCCAGCTAACTGAGTTAGCGACGTACGAAGAACGAGCCAGGTCTAAAGTCTTTGGCGCGTTGCGCGTTGTTCATGATGCTATTTTAAGCGCGCATGCTTGGCCATAAAGTAGCGGGTAAACACAAGGCGCATCAACACAGATGCAGTAGTTATAACAAGGAAAAATATTAACACATGAGGGAAATCATTGTGGTTTACATGAAGATGAAAAACCTGAATTACCCATTTTGTAAGGCTAATTGTAGTACTGGATCAGACAAGAAACATACGTATAGGCTATAACCCTCAGGTGCTCTTCGTTTCGGAGTCACACTTGTTATCTTCCCGGTCAAAAGTGACCGGACACCTAAAAATGAAACTTTCTCCATCCCAGTAAAACCAATGCAATTTATTTTTGTTCTATAATATTTATTCTTTTTAATTTAGTATTTTGAGACAATTTAAATGAATTTATTAATATTTATGCAATATTTATGGTTTATTTTTGCCATAGAAAAATATATATTATTTTATATATATATATTATTTTCTTCAAAAAAATATAAATGCAGTATTTTAGTTTAATATAGAGTCTAGGCCTTTAGAAAAAAAATATTTTTTGAAGAAAATTAGCACCATCTGGTTACAGCATAGAGAAAAAGCGTAGAATCATGGTGTAACCACTTGATGGCATGTACAGCTCTCTATTGAGAGGCATGTGAATTCCCCAGCTGTTTATGAACACATTTTTGTTGTTGTTGGTGGTGGATTTGTATATATAGTTGAAACAATCTCAAAAACTATTTCTTATTAAAAAAAATGACAAAAAACAAATATTCACAATTTTTTTTTCTTTTTTTTTTTTTACAATTTCCCATTCATTTCCTATGGGGTCATTTTTGACCAAAGACCACAAGTGTGACTATTTTTTTTTAAGACCACTTAGCATGCTCAGATCATGACCTCAATTTTTTTGTGTGTTCACATACATAATGCCATAAAAGTCACCAAGTTTCGTAACATCGCGATGAAGCTGTGATTTTTAAAAATTCAAAACATACTTTTTGTAATCAAAATTTATTGGTGTGTATAAGTGTATAAAAGTGTGTTTGTATGTGTGTGTGTGTTGGTGGGTGTGTCTGTTTTGGGTAACACTTTATTTTACGACCCGCAAACAACTGTGTAAGTACACCGAAATTACGGTGTACGTTTCTGTAATTATAGTGTACTTCCGTGTAAGTATAAGGGAACAATATGTTAAGTTTGGGGTAATAAAGGGGTAACAAGCAGATATACAACCTGCAAATAACTTCGTAAGTAGCCTACACTGAAATTACGGTGTATATTTCTGTAATTATGGTGTACTTCAGTGTTTGTATAAGGGAACAATATGTTAAGTTTGGGGTAATAAGGGGGTAACAAGCAGATGTACAAGCAAATTATTTAATTAGTTAAAAAATAACAGGTACCTATTCTGTTAATATATTCCAGGCAAAGTTTGTACGTCTGTTTTTTATAAAATGTATCACATTTCTGGCAAAACATGTTCAGGATAATTTTGACATCTGTTGAAAATTAAACATATATATATATATATATATATATATATATATATATATATATATGCATTGGCTTTTCAGTCAAAATAATTTGTTTCTGCTATGATTTTAATTTAGACCGTAACATGTGGTAATTAGTACTTACCTTATTCCATTGAATTGCAATGACACTTAAATGTCAGGTCAAATATACTGTGTAATTAAAACGTTTTTTTTTGTTGTTGTTTTGTTTTCTTGATAACAGTACCTTTCTCTGTAATTACATTGCAAAAAGTGTTGTTTTGTTTTACTACATAGTAAGTAGCGTTTGTTACCCCCTTGTTCTGCGTAGTTACAGGGCAAGTGTAACTCCTGCGGGCTGTAAATTAAAGTGGTGCTTGTTACCCCTTTATTACCCCAAACTTAAAATATTGTTCCCTTATACTTAGACGGAAGTACACTATAATTACAGAAACGTACACCGTCATTTCGGTGTACTTACAAAGTTGTTTGCGGGTCGTAAAATAAAGTGTTACCCTGTTTTGCACTCTAGATGTTGTAGAGTGTCACCCCTTTCTTGCGGTTTACTTTTTTTTTTTAGAATTGTGGCCGATTTGTAGATTGTACATACAAAAATTCAGAGAATTTTTTTTTTGTATCAATTTCCCATTCATTTCCTATGGGTTGTCATTTTTGACAGAAGAGCAAAAGTGTGACTCATTTTTTTACGACCACTTAAATTGCTCGAATCATGACCTCAATTTTTTTGTGTGTTCACATACCCAATGCCATAAAAGTCACCAAGTTTCGTAATTTTCTGAAGAAGCTGTGATTTTTAAATATTCAAAACATTTCTTTAATCACAATTTATTGGTGTTTTTGTGTATAAAAGTGTGTGTGTGTGTGTGTGTATGTGTGTGCGTAGGGGTGGGTATGTCTGTTTTGCACTCTTGATGTTTTACAGTGTCACCCCTTCAATGCTGAGCACTTTTTTTTCTGCATCGTGGCCGATTTCTAGATTGTACACACAAAAATTCTCAAAGTTTTTGTGTTTTTGTCAATTTCCCATTAATTTCCTATGGTCGGTCATTTTTGACCGAAGAGCACAAGTGTGTCTATTTTTTTTACAACCACTTAGCCTGCTCGGATCATGACCTCAATTTTTTTTTGTGTGTTCACATACCCAATGCCATAAAAGTCACCAAGTTTCGTAACATTCCGATGAAGCTGTGATTTTTAAAATTTCAAAACAGAGCATTTTCCGGTCAGAAATGACCGAAGAGCACCTGAGCCTGAGGGTTAACCGACGCTGATGTGCGAGAGTTTCTCCCATCCCCATACAACGTCACCTCTCTGTCTTTCACTGTCCTGACAGGAACGAGACCATCGGCTGTGAACGCTCCTGGCGCGCGCCTGGTAAACCCGCCGTTATAACAATCCGTCATGCAACATGCGACAAGTTCTTAAAGGGTATGTTGGATGGCGCTCGGATTGGTTTATTTCACGTTACGCCCAAACCACACCTATGAATAATGAAGCTACTTCAGACCAACCCCTTTTAGATTTGCGCCAGGCGCAAGAGGCATTTATCCCGCCGGGAAAATAGCAAAGTTACTTGCGCCATGCGCTTTGACACTTGCGTTTCAGATCGTTAAAATAGGGCCCTTAATTGTGGGGCAAGCCATGAAAACATCCACATCGATAAAAACATACAGTTTATTACGGATCTAACCTCGTCCTAACCTTTCGTCTTGCTGCGCAGTGAGGAGATCCTGAAAAAAAATTTACCTTACAGTTTCATTTTGAGGAGCACGGATTCAGCTGATGCAGTAAGTCATTTATACCTGCTTTTGTTCTAATCGCGTTATTGAATAGTGTCTACAAAGACTGTTTAAATATCATATATTAGGAATAGGAAGGAATAGACGAATTCACAGAGGCGCGCGGTGTGCGTTAATTCACTTTCGCTTTCATTGGAACAAGAATCTCATGTGACATCCTTACATTAGTAAGATAACATCTGTATAACCAAAAAGAGTGTTTAAATATGATTCGGGTGTGTGGACGGACGTATGGACGAACGTTCATTTAGTTAGACTGTTAGAGTTTTTGCTCATATTATTTTCATTTCAAGATGTTTTAAACTCTAACTCTGAACCAATTCTACATGGCCCATATAAAATTTGACCAGGATTTGTTTATGACTAAAAATGGGTTTAGACTTTCATTTATACTTTGATTTTATACATAACATGAAGAGTTCAGATGCAAAAGCCTCTAAAGTTCAGTAATTTCACTTAAATGGCAATGAAGACTACCTATTAATTGTCATTTGTGAAATTGGGTTGGGTTGCCAGCCACATACTGTATTTTTACAGATTTGGTTCTGTAAACAGTATTTACTCCACTAATTACCAAATACAGTATCACACACTTTTACAGTTTTAAACTTGTCTACAGCAGTAAATTGTATTTTTATAGGGAATACTGCTTACATAATTAAAAATATTATACTTTAAAGTCACACATATGTGATGTTTTATATCTCTTGTATCAAAATAAAGAAGCAAGCACAGACACGAGTGTGTATTCCTTTTCTTCTCTTTACTACTCTCCTCTTTTCTCTCTCCTCTCCTGCCATCTAGTGGCTACACATTAACTCAGCAGACACAACATTTCCCCCTTTTTTTTTTTTTTTAAAGCCTTTTGGATAGGTTCTGTCTTAGAACATTACAACATAATAACATACTTTATTCCAACCACTAAGTAACACAGAATTAAAGAATTACTTAAAGAAACAACTTATCTCTTTACATAAAACCAGTAGTATTATAAATGAATGGTATATTAACTCCTGGTAGTTCCTTTAAGGAGTGCCTTAATAACATTTAACTACTCCTATTAAACAACAAAAACAACAATTGACTGTATTTGAATCATGAACTATTTCAGTACCATTGCATCTATTTATTTTTCTAACACAAAGTCTTTCAACCAAGCTGGTTGTTTAAACTCTCTCACACTTCTTCTGAGGGTAGTTTGCTATTCCTTTTCCTCAGTATTAGGCTGTAAGCTTACTTTCCCAAAAGTCTTTCCCAAACTTATCGACACCTCATTTGGAACTCCCGTGAGACGAGACGCATTCCATTTCTTCCCATCTTCCAACAGGAAGGTATTTGGACCAACTTTCCTTCTCACCAAACACGGAGCAGTGTACCTCGTAGAGCCTTTGCGAAAATGTTCTGGTTTCTTTATACGCACCCAGTCCTTTTCCTTGAATTTGGGTACCTTAGCTCCTCTCTTTTTGTCAGTGTAGTCTTTGTATTTCTGCTGCTTACGTGTCACAGTGTTTTTAATCTCCAAATGTGTCTTCACTTCCCTGCTGACAGGCAGGACATCCAGTTTTGTATGCATCTTGCGGCCACGCAGGAGTTCGAAAGGTGTAGCCCCTGTGGTAGCATGTGGCGTCGCTCGGAAATTATGCAAGAACTGTGTCACAGCTGCCTTCCAGGACTTCTTTTCCTGAATTGCAGATTGGATGCATTGTTTCAACACTTTATTAAAGCGTTCTACTGCCCCTTTGGCCTGAGGGTAATATACGCTGGAGTACAAATGCTGAATGTTGCGTTCTTTCAGAAAATCAGAAAAAGCAGTAGATGTTAGTTGTGAGCCATTATCAGACACTAAGCAATGTGGATTACCTTCTCTACTGAAGATGGTGTCCAGGAAAGTTGTTATGACCTCTGTTGTCACTTGTGATGCAAAAGCTACTTCTGGCCACTTACTGTAGTAATCTACCAGTGTTATGGCGTAGCGGCAATCCCATGTAGCCGTCTCAAATGGTCCCACAATATCGATTCCTACCTTTTCCCATGGACCGTTAGGTAATTCCACAGGTATGAGAGGTGCAGGTGCAGGCTTGGCCGTTTTGTCATTCAGCTGACATGTCAAACATGAGGCAATCAGAGTTTCTACACTTCTGCCCATTTTCGGCCACCAGTACAGCTCGCAAAGTCTTTGTTTTGTCCGCACAATTCCTTGGTGTCCTTCGTGAGCTAAATTCACAAGTCTTGTACGCAGAGACAATGGGACTACAAGGCAATGATCCCCCCGCATAATGAGAGGACCCTCCAAAGAAAGCTCATGTCTGATGTGAAAGTAAGGTTCCAGTTCTTGTGTCACTGACTTCTTGTTTTTAGGCCAGCCGTTCTTGATCTGTGCACGAAGTTGAGCTAACTGGAGGTAGCTCTCCGATGCAGACGAAAACTCAGAGACTGACAAGGCGAGTAAGTGAGAAACAGTGGCGACCATTTCTGGTTCATCTGTTGATTCACTCGTCTCCGGTAAGGGAAGTCGAGACAGACAGTCTGCTGTTGTGTTGTATCTCCCAGGGCGGAATGCAACATCATAGGAATAGCATAACAGACGGGCCGACCACCTAGCAATTCGCATGCCAGCTCTACCAGTGCCTTTTGAAGTAAGAAGCGTTGTAAGGGCTTGGTGGTCAGTGCGCAGAACGAAATGTCTACCCCAGAGATATGTCCTCCATTTTTCAACACTCCACACACAAGCCAGTGGTTCTCTCTCCACAGTCGAGTACTTCCTTTCAGCTGACGAAAGAGTTCGGGAGGCAAATGCCACAATGCGCTCCGTACCATCAGCATGTAACTGAGAAAGGACTCTTCCCACACCGTAATTAGAAGCATCAGTGCTCACGTAAGTTGGCAATCGGGGATCGAATAGAGCTAGAATGGGGCTCTTTGATAGAAGCGTCTTCAGGGTGGCAAAACTTTGATCAGCCTTATCAGTCCAGAAGAAGTTCACGTCAGTGGAGGTTCTCAAAACTTCACGCAGGGGTTCAACCACTGTTGCGTAATCAGGCAGGAATTTACTATAGCAAGACGTTAGGCCCAGGAATGAGCGCAGTGAGGCTATGTCATGGGGAGCAGGTGCATGCACGACAGCAGCTACATTATCAGCATCTGGGTGTAATCCCTCTTTAGAAATCGTGTGCCCCAAAAATTTCAAGGTTTGCAGCTTAAATTTACATTTCTGCATGTTTAGTTTCAGACCAGCCTTGTTCAGACAGTGAAGTACGGCTTTTAAGCGAGTGTCATGGATTCCCTCTGTTTCGGCGTAAACAATTAGGTCATCCAAATATGCTTGAACACCTGGCAATCCGTGTAATATCGCTGTCATCATCTTCTGGAAAGCAGGCGCGGCTGAAGCCAGTCCATACGGGATACGTTTATAACGGAACAGTTCATCCTGGGTAATAAACGCCGTTAAATCCCGACTTTCCGGGTGCAATGGAACCTGGTGGTATGCTGAGGCCAGGTCTATGGTAGAGAACACTGTTGCCCCATGCAGCTCTGCCAACAGTTCCTCTATATGGGGCAAGGGGTGGCTATCAACAACTATAGCCTGATTTGGCTCCCTTAAATCAATGCACATGCGAATTCCACCCCCCTTTTTTTGTGTCACCACAATTGGGGAGACCCACGGAGATGCATCCACCCGTTCAATTATGTCCTGCTCCAACAGGTGTTTCAGTTCATCAGAAACTGCTTGCCTGACTGACAATGGCAATCTTCTCAATTTTTGCTGAACAGGAATGAAACCTTCTTTCACTTTCACTTTGTGCACGAATCCGCTTGCGCATCCTACAGTATGCACAGGCAATATTTCCGAATTCTCATGTGCAATCACAGCATCGCCTTCAATACAGCAGTGAAGTGCCTTAAGCAGATCCATTCCCAGCAAAGGTGAGCCTGACTTTACTATATAGAACGTGCCCATTGCAGTACTACCATCATGGAAGACGTCTGTAGAGAAACAGCCCAGCACTGGAATAATCTCCTTGGAATAAGAAACTAATTTTATTGTCGCTGGATTGAGGGTGCATGAAGCAAAGTGTTTACGGTAAATGCTCTCGGGCAATATGGATACTGATGAGCTCGTGTCTACAATTAACTCCACTGGTTGACAATGTCCATCCTTTGTTTTAATTTGCACTGAACAGAGGATTTTGTCTGTCACTGTCTTAGGATCATTCATGTATAATACAGTGAGCTCTGGTATAACAATCTCACGCACCTGTTTCTGTGATGATCGGCAAACTTTGGCAAAGTGCCCAATTTTTCCACATGAATTGCAGACTGCTTTGATCGCTGGACATGTAGGTTTGTTAGCCATATGGTTGTTGGATCCGCAAAGGTAACACGAACGCTGCTGTCTCGCGTTCGCGGCTGAGCGATCTGATGATGGGGAAGGTACTGTCCCTTCGTTTAACGTTCCGTTGACTCTGTATGGCCCGCACTTGTGAAGTATCAGAAAGTAGCTCGGAATTCCTAAATGCAGTCTCCATTTGCACTGCTATTGAGACAGCCTTATTCAGCGTGAGGTCGGGTTCAAGCAAAAGTCTGTCCCGAACGCGTAAATTGGCTGCTCGCTCCACGAGCTGGTCACGTAACATTTGTTCTTCCATCTCTCCGAAATCACATGCGACCGCAAGTTCCCGTAAAGCAGCCAGGAACTGATTCATGGATTAATCAGCCCGCTGTGTCCTTTGCCTAAATTTGTGTCTCTCTGCGACAACATTAACTGCAGGAATGAAATACCTTTTCAGTGCAGTGACAGCCGTCGTATAAGTATTGCCCGTGTCTGGTAAGGTATAAAACAGTCTTTGTCCTTCTGTGCCCAAGGCATGTAATAGAACAGCTCGCTTTCTTTCTTCCGGCCATGCGTCACCAGTAGCATCGATCACAAGTAGGTAGTTTTCAAACATTTTGAGCCATACGGTAAAAGTAAGTGCAGGCTCGCCAGGGCATGCCAGGAATGGAGCTGGTAAAGGAACTGTAATCGACATCCTCGTCGCCAATTGTGAGGTTTTATATCTCTTGTATCAAAATAAAGAAGCAAGCACAGACACGAGTGTGTATTCCTTTTCTTCTCTTTACTACTCTCCTCTTTTCTCTCTCCTCTCCTGCCATCTAGATTAAATTAAACAAAGATACACATTATACAGGCCTACACAGTGGTTTAATTTCAGGAAGGTCTACTAACATTATTTAGGTATGGTCTAAAAAGAATTATAATAAAGTAATCAAAAGTAAAATAGCACTGCAAAGTTTATAATAGATAGATTTATGCTTATTAAAGCTGAAGTTATTCATTTAAGAGCTGTGAGTGATTTTCTCTTTGCCTTTGGTTGTTTGATTCTCAGTAATGTCGCAATCGTCACGTTTATACTGCTGCCCCTTTAAGAACGAGTGCAGATTTCGTCTACTGATGCACCATATTTTCTCCCAACTATTTCCATAACTACGTTCATTTTAGACATAAACGGTTTAAGTGTTAATCTCCAAGCCGGTCGTTTAGAAATTTTTGTGCAGGCTACATTTGATCGTTTAGACGCGCATATGAAGCCCAAAGTATAATTTGCTTGTCTTGTTGCGGTCTGTTTCGGAGCGCGCGTCGCACTGAGAACAGCATCTCTTGCGCAAATTTTGTGCTTTTAATAGCTCTTTTTATTATTAAAAGCGTCCCGCAATTTAGCAACAGCAGAGACTGCATTTTACAACAATCACCGATCGTGCTGATTCTGTCTTAAAGTTTGAGTTTTAGGGAGAAATGACAGAACACCGCCTCGATGGGAAGGAAGTTGGCTAGACAGAATGCGGCTATTGTTTTTAATGTTTTTTTTTACCTCAATTTATTCTTTAATCTTTGGAAATCAGACTAATATCACAGATCTAAAGTGTAACCAGGCTACGTTTGAATGTTTAGTTCTGTCCTCTGTCGTCACTCATTAAGCAGGGCTGTCGTGTTGTGCATGCTGTGGCACCGCGTGAGAGATCTCTCTCTTTCTCTTATACGGCTTTTCAAACATTTCATTTTGCTGTCTTGCTCTGCTGCGGTGTTTTCAGTGTGAAGTATTTCCACCATAGGATTTCCACACAGCGAACATGTTGGTAGCTCAATGCTATCCTGCTAACTGGCTGCAAACTGCGGAATGGATTTCCTGAGCGGGGGTCTGTGTGTCTCATTGAGCCCTATTTTTTACAGTCTATGATTGAGCTGCATCTCCGTTCAGGATATCCATTCCACAGTTTGCAGCAAGCTAGCAGACTAGCAGGCCCGGGGAATCCCTTTTGGAGTCATTTCAGCAGCCAACATTAAAGCGCAGACATGGATCATAAATATCGGATTTCTCCGCAGGTTGGATCAGAAAAATCCGATACGTGAATTACGCTGGTATCGGTCCCGATACCGATACTGGATCGGATCGGCCCCATCCCTAGTTTTTACCTCTTGTAACCACAGTCACGTCCAAGTGATCTGAGGGCACGGGCGCTTTGTGGCTGTGGTTACAAGAGGTAAAAATGATATAAATACTGTTTGCTTTCTCACAAACTGTTCGTTTCGTGTCTTAGGCCATCAATGTGTACTTACATTTACGAGTCATTGAATCATGTTTAATTTTGACTTCTCTGGGCATGCTCTTTGAGGTGGACCCCATAGACCTCCATTATATGACTGAAAGGGTTTGACCTAAAAATATCAAAATTGAAAATACTGTGGAAACAAAGACACCTACATCTTGGATACACTTGAGGTAAGCTAAAACATATCAAAAATTAATTTCAAAGTGAAATATCCCTTTAAATCTGAGAGCTGGATCACTCCATAGGTTTCTAAGGGATTGAAACTTGCCGGCCCCTAAAAGTTATTAAAGACATCGTTAAAGTACAGTCCAATGTGAATACAGTGGCTCAATCTTAACTTTATCAAGCGACCAGAATACTTTTTGAGTGCAAAAAACAAACAAAAATAATTACTTTATTTCAACTATTCATCTCCTTCTCTGTAGGGATGTCCCTATCCGATACTCAGGATCGCCATCAGCTCCGATCCAGCCATTTTTGGGGGATCGGGTATCGATCAGACGAGGCCGATCCAAATCCGATATTGTGCGTATACTATTATGTTATTGTTAAGCCCCACAGAAGGCACAAAAACATTCTAAAGTACCATCACATTTTCGTGCACTCTATTATAAGTGTTCTGAAGCCATTATGTGAGAGAGAAATTAATATTTAAGTCATTAAATTCAAGATCACGTAAACTTTTCCCTCTCGCGGCTGTCAGTCATTCTCCATTCAGCTCTCAAAACAGCGCTTTACGTTCGGTTACAGTAAATGATGAAACTATCTTCAAGATGATTCAATGTTAATACTATTACACTTTATCTGTAGATAAAGGTCTATGTTTGGCATAAAACAACATTATCTTGCTGGACTTTATTGCTGTAACTTAATCGTGTTACTTTCTAGGTGTCGGACGCTGTCGGTTAGATCACAACACTAGAGTCAGATCACTATTGTTCTTCACGCGCACAGTACCTGAAATTTAAAACAGTTTAAAGAAAAGGCTCAATAAACTATTGTATAGATCAGGGGTTCTCAACCTTGTGCAAGCTGGGCCCCCCCAAAGCTGGTTCATTGCAGTTTGGGCCCCAATGCCAAACTCGACATTGTTTGTCTGGGATAGCAAAAGTAACTAAGGAAGGCGGGGCTTACCGATAGGTCATATGATACATTGTTATCACACACAATGAAACATAGTAGTACACAACAATGTGTTTATTTTATGTGCTACAGTGTTGAAGGCTGGGGTGATTGTTTTAAAAACACCAGGCTTTTACTCTGAAAGTTAGGGGGGTTGGGGGGGTTCTCCCCCGAGAAAAATTTGATTTCTCCGACTTTCATATGCGCATTTAAAGGTGTTTCAAGGGCAAAAAATTGGGTAACATTCCAAAGTATGTTAGTGGACAGCAGTAGCATAAATGACTTGTCAAGCAGATAACAGATTGTTAAACATGAGAATAAGGATAAATGTGGCAAAGAATGATCCACATTACAAAATGTGATTGACAACATTCAAAACTATTTTAACATTAACTCTTCAAAAAAAAAAATGTTTTTGCATAGTAACTCAAATTGTTAAACTCAAACTTTTACACAGATTTACTGGGGCACAGCAGATTAGTGGGGCATGTGCCCCAGTAAAAGGGGTAGCAACATCCCTGGGCCTAAGGTAGTACACATACAGAAATTGAATATTAGTTATCAAACAGTCTGCACTGCATAAATTATGTCACGGGTGACAAAATCGCTCAGTAAACGGAACCTTCTTGAGAGTCCTGAGTTTCCTAGGGGAACGTATTGGGTGCAACACTCCACTACGGTTCCGGGTGTGATGGAAACATGCCCGTACTGATTAGCGCTAATGCATTGCAGGTGTGAGAGAGAGAGGAGCGGCGCTCACACAGGCTTCCTGTTTCATAAGCCACAATATAAAAGGAGCATTTAGAGAGTGTTTGCAGTGCGGTTGGTGGGTGTACAGTGTGTCAAGATTCCAAAGGGTTGACTCTGGGCAGTGCTGGATACAGGCTTCCTTGGAAAAATCGTTGGAGTGTGGAGATCGCCCATTCGAGTTTGCTGGGTCAGATTGATCGTTTGTGGGAAGACTGCTGGGCCGAGCTAGGGCTGGATCTGTGCTGTGGAAGGAGAGAGGAAAGATAAGTGAATGGTTTTCATCTTATGAACATTTGAACCACTTGAAGAGGATACAGTGAATGTGGATCTGACTGTTGGAGGAGCTATGTGTTTCAGAGTGTGATGAGGAGGAATTAAAAGTGAAAACCCTGTAAACGAGCGCAACGGCCGGAGTGGGGCCTCTGTCCAACCCTATCGTGTGAGTGAATTGCAGTGCTTTTGCCTTATTGATACACATTG